TCATGTTGGCCTGTATCTCGCCATCCAACAAGAACCACGCAGAGAGCCTAAACACAATCCGCTATGCGAACCGCGCGCGCAATATCCGCAACAAGGTCGCTGTCAACTTTGACAAGAACAGCTCAGCCGAGCTCAGTATTTTGAAGACAGAGGTAGCGAGGCTGCGTGGTGAGATCGCCAAGCTCAAGCTTTTGCGTCGCCAGTCGTCGCTCATGCCCAGCGACCAGGCCGCAGGTCAGACCATGGCCCGTCTCGAGGCAGAGCTCAGTCGGCTCGAGGCTGTCAATATGGAAATCACCGAGAAGCTCGAGCAGGCAGTGCGCCAGGCAGCCATTCTGGAGATTGAGCGGGATTCGCTGCGCCGGAAGATTGTCGATCTCGGTGGCACCGTCGATATGAAGATGGTTGATTCTGCCATAGCTATGCTCGATTCATCCCTGCTGAAACACCCTGGTGCAGCTGTCCCCATGGGTTCGGTTGGTAATTCAGCACCCAGCGGCATTCAGTCACCCCGTCCCAACAGTATCTTCACTGACGGTAATCCGGGCATACTGAGCGACCAGATGCTCAACACCATGGACCGCGAGCTGTCTGACCAAGCTGAGCGCCACGAGCAGCAGATCGACAGCGTCCGCCACCACTATGAGTCCAAGCTGGAGCTTCTACAGGAGACCCTGGCAATTGTACAAAAGGAGCGTGATGTCGCTCTCCAACGTCTGGCCAACGCCAACAAGTCCTCGGTCTCGCTATCGTCGGGCTCCAATGGCCCACCCAACCGGCGCGCTCTGGGCCTAGAGAACGGTGCCTCGACGCCGACAAAGCTCCGCCAGCCGAGCCGTATCGCCAAGGCCTCCGTGTCGCGCAAATCATCCAGTGTTGACATCCCAGGTCGCAGTTCTCCAGTGCCCGTTGTACGTGAGCTGCAGGAGCAGCTCGAGCAGCTGAGGCGCGAAAACCAGGCGCTTCTGGACAAGGCCACCGCTGACTCTGAAAGCCTGGCGCTGCAGGTGCAGGAGCAGGCACGCGAGATCGCCACCCTGCGGCGCAAGCGCACCGGCCGCACCGACAGCCGGCGGTTCTCGTTCCTGCCGCACCGCGACAACACCTGGGGCGTGGCCAGAGACGTGGCCGAAGAGGAGAACACTCCAAACCTCTTGCGCGCCGCCTTCATCAAGAAGGTGCTTGAGGGCGAGCTCCAGCGCTGCGTGCAGGCTCGCCAGATGCTGCGTGAGCGCGACTCGTACCTGAGCAAGCAGGATGAGCTGATGAACGAGCAGAACGACATGATGTTGTTGCAGCTGCAGGGCGACGATATTGACGGCGACCACGATCCAGCTGACGAGCCGACGAACCCGACATCCCCCGGCACCACCATGGAGTGGGCAAACCAGCGCATCGAAATCATCGACGCTGAGCTGCATTACCTTGATCTCAAGGTACGCGATGTTGAGGCTGAGATTGCCCGCCTCTCCGAGGACACCACCGAGAGCGCCAGCGACCTGCAAGGCAGCGGCTTGCTGTCGCGGCCTTTGCTGCTCAACATGAGCGGCCTGGCCATGCGCATGGTCGAGGATGTGGTGCGCATCGACTACCGCGCCTTTGCTGACATGTTTGATGCCATGGAGCCCAAGGACGTCACTGGTTTGTCGTACCTACTGATGCAGGATATCATCGATCTGCGCCTCATGTCACACCGCGAAGAGATTGCGCGCAAGGAGGTCGAAGAACAGACCATGGACTTGCGCCGCACCTTGCTTGTCATGCAGAAGACTGCGGTCAATGCCGCTCTGTCTTATGAGCATGAGCTGGGAAATGCCGAGCGCAGGCTGTCGCTGTTGAAGTCGCCCGAGTTCGCGCCCAGCGTCATCGAGTCGGTCGGAGACGACCACATCCCCCAGGCCTCACCGCCACGTGATATCAGCCTGGAACTGGCCCATACGCCCATCCACAGCACATTCTCTGACCAGGGTCGTTCAGTGTACGACAATGTGCGTGAGCGTGGTATCCTGCTCCGCTCTGCGATCCTCAGTGCCGGCAACGGCTATGACGACGATACAATTTCAACAACTACCTCATACTCGCCGCGTCCAGTCATGGTTGCACCGCCAGTAAAGGAGTCCGACTCATCCCAGGTCTCGCTGGCGCCGTTCTCTGCCAACACCGAAATCGGCAGCCTTGGCAGTGCATCCGGGAATGATACTCAGAATCAGTTGATGCAGGTCACCAGTCATGATGCAAGCGTCAGCCTTGCAAACTCAACGCCAGTTGTAGACTCACGCACCTCTGGCGATTCAGCGTTCTTTCAGGAATCAGTGAAGAGCATATCGATAAGCAACATGGCCCGCTCGCCGAGCCCGATCCCCGAGGTGCCGCCGCCGCCGCCCCCGTCGGCCGTGACTGCGCAGACATCGATCATCCAAAGCACTGATTCGCAGCCTGCCACCCGGAATAGCAATTCCAGCGAGCGAAGCACACGCATTGCTGACAGCAAGGACTTTGTGGTGTCGTCGGCAGCGCTAAGCTCCGATACGCCTCATTCCTCGCAGGACCCCTCAACACGGGCAAACTCTGCGCAGCTCAACCGCATCAGCTCCTACAACTCACCAATTGAATCCGACTACAGCTTAGCCGCAACCAACCGGGCACTGCGCATTAGCGGTACCTTTGGTCGCAGTTTTGTCGACGTCGGACAATTCGTTGATGACATGGATGGCATGTTCATGTCTGATCCTGAGGACATGCCCAGCGAGGTTGAGCCCAATATCATCTACCGGTCGGGCTCCAGCGAGTTCTTCCGTCAGCCCAACATGGCCCGCAACCCATCGACGCGCAGCCGCCACCGCTCGCGTCATCTCGTGCGTCGCTCGCAGAAGCGCAACGACAAAACCAGGCAGCCGCGCATGGACAAGGCCACTATGCAGCACCTGCGCATTAGTCTGCCCATCGTGCCGCCTGAGATGATGGAATACATTGACCAGCGCAACCCGACCGCGCTGCGTGTCAGCGACCATGATGCGGTGGTTGCCTCGCCTGAGATTCTCAAGCAGATGAACATCCCTGACAATTCCGAGTACCACGAAAATATCGCCGCATTCTCATCGTTTGCTGTCAAGAAGCCGGCGGTTTCAACACCCGCCACACCAACCACGCCCTCACATTCTGCCGAAGGGCTTGCAAATGGTCGCGCACACCAGATTCCGCCATGCAGGCAGCCGCGAGGCGATCACGAGACGTCATCCGAGAGCGAGTCGGATTTTAGGGACGCACCTGATCATATCGCAGCGTCTATTCCTGACGACAGTGCTAGGCCCAGCGAGGATGTGAATGAAGGATTTGACGACTCCCGGACCAAGGTTCACTTCGCCCAGCCTGCTGACAATGATAGCGACTCGAGCTCGCCTGACAACTCACCTGTGCAGCTGCTTGGCTACCACCGTCTCCGCAGCCCCGGGCTCATGCCCACGCGCCGCTTCCCTGGCAGCCCACAGAGCCGCTATAGCTATCCGTCCACTACAGATAGCAACGAGCAGGTGTTTAACACCCTCGAGCACGACATGCGCTCCTCTCTAGCTGTAACCAGTGCTGAAAACCTTCTCAGCGACAATTATGAGGGCGATGTAGAGTATACGCCGAGGCTGGATGATGAAGACCACACGGCACTATATCCGCCGCGGGTTCCATCCAAAGGACCCAATGTGCTGAAGCCACTGCCGCACCGGCCAGTGTCCAAGCCCGTGCCGCCGAGACCCAAGTCCCCGGAAAAGCCCGCGCATCGGTTCCTGTCGCCCACAGAGCAGGTCAACGCATCGCTGTTCTCGATGATCGATGCTGCCAAGATCGACCCGGCTGAGCTCCAGCGGCTGCGCGAGAAACAGTCGGTACAAACCACTATCTCGTCCAAACTCAGTCAAGAGCAGTTCCTGACTAAATCTGGCGATGACTATGACTCCTGTGCACATCTGGATCCAGAGGCGCAGGCTATGGAAAACAGCATTGAGGAGTCGATGCAGAAGGATTCGACGAAGCCGATGAAGATCCGTCGTCGCGCACACTCATCCAACGCGGACGAGGAATCGCCAACCCCAACCTCCAAACACAAGAGCAACAACCGCCTTACCAAGCTGTTGTCGGGGATCGGGCTGGGAAATAGCGGCAACGGCCAAAAGCCCAAAGAACAAGCAGAGTCTCAGCTGCGCTCAAACAATATCCATCAGACTCACCACGCGATGCCTGCGGAGCCGCAGAATGTGGACAAGAACAAGAAGCGCCTGCCTGAGCTGCCTACTGAGTTCAACCGCGCATTTTCAAACGACACCCATGATCTGCCCCTGCCCCGTATCCAGCGCAATCGCAGTCAGTCAGACTCATCCATGAACCAACGTATGCGCGAGGGTGCTGGTGACCGCAATGGACACCACTACTCAAGACCGTCAGGAGCCACGTCTCCCAGAAGCAGTGACAAGTACATGGCCTCGCCGATGGCTCGTCAGCGGCATGCTGCACACAGGAATGCCAATTCACATGCTCGTCATTCGCATGCGTTCTATCTGAATGAACCTGCAAGCTCGTCGATGGGAAATACCAACAAGGCGCTGCCTAATCCACCTACCCGCTCGCCGGACGCCATGTATGGTAGACACGGAATGGTGACTCAGGCATATTATGAATATTAAGCTTTCATTTTATGTGCACTTTTAATGTCATGGAAACCAGATGTTGGCATTTTGAGGATTGTGATCAAACATACCAGCAGTTGCAAGTTCACTGTTTTATATTTCACGGTGCAGCTATAATGTGCAGAGCACGATGTGATGAGCTAAGAGGCACTGAAGCATGTATCATGGAGTGGCATCAAGCACAATGTAGCTGGATATATACTCTTGAACGTGTTGCATATTCTGCGTTTTCTATAGATCTATGCTGCCTTAAAAAATACTAAAGATATTTATTGATAGGAATGTCATTTGTATGAGAAAATAGCGCTGCCAAAATCAGGTCAAGAGTTGTTCAGAATGTGTACTGCTTGGTTTTCGAGTCAAGTTTGGCCCTTGCACCAGGATCCAGGAACACAGATGCCTCCTGTTCCTGTGAGAACGGGGGCTCTTCCTTTGCCTGGAAATATGTGTGGTTTCCAAGAAGTGCTCCCTGCCAGTAGCGGGTCGATCTCTTCATGCGCTCATCGACTTTAGTTGTGTACTCGACCAGCTCCTCCTTTGAAAGTGTTGCGAATAGGTAGTCCGGATGAACGATAAGCCCCGCTCCATTGGACTGGCTGAATCCAAACGACGTGAACAGCGCGGCCTTGATAGTTGGCGCACGAATAGTCTTGCTCAGGTATACAAGGTGTTCGTGCTGCTCCAGCTCGTCATCGATATTGTCCGCATTCCTATTCCCCGGAATGAGTCCTGTTGTCATTGACTGAAGAATGCCATGCATTGAACAGCTCGTTGCTGGGGCCTTTGTATGACCAAGGATCCACTTTTGGCAAACTACTGGAACCGGAAGACCAGGCGTGCGTCCAACGTGCTTCAAGAGCATGTTCACAATGTTCGACTCGTTTACATCGTTCAACTTTGTCGATGTTCCGTGGAATGACGCCAGCCCAATATCATCTGCGCCAAGACCCCATGTCGCTAGCGCAGCACGAAGGGGCGAGGTCGACTTGCACATCTTGTAGAAATCATTACCCCATGTCGTTTTAGCTGTTTGTCTTATATCTTTCGCTACGCCAGTGTTACCCAACTGCTCAAGCGCAGCTAATTGCCTATCACGCATCTGCCTCCTATAATGGATGTCAAGCAGTTGCAGGTCCGATGGGGTGGGGTTCTCCTTTCCAATGGACAGTATCCCTTGGCCCGGGGCGCTATAATTGCGGGTCGACTTGTCGGTAGCAGTGGCGGACATTGCTAAAATCCCATAAATAGGCGCTCCAATTTTAAGCGCCGCAGTAGCTGACATCAAAACAGCAACCCCCGAGCCGTGACTCTCAACAAACCCGCTTCTGGTAGATGTACAGGGCCGTGACATTTCCTGAGGGATTCTCCCCTTTACTAGCTCATCCCTGGCACTTGCTGTGGCATTCATCAAACCAAACTCAAATGAGGTATCGTTCGTGAACCCTTCTCCTGCACCAGCGATCATGACATCCGCTTTACCCTGGATAATCGATTCTGCAGCAAGGTCTAGCGCGATGGCCGAAGTGGCACATGCGCCAACAGTCGGTTTTAGTGGACCTGATGCCGAAAATAGAAGCATATTGAGCCATGCGCTCATATGATTGACGGTGCATTCAGTCATCATGTCCGAGTTCACATTCTTGTCTAGATATCTGTTGCGGAACACATTAACAAGGGTTTTTGCCCCACCCGCACTAGAGCCTATCGCGTGCCCGACCTTTGAAACGTGGAAGTACTGGTAGAGTTCATATGGATCTGTAATGCCAGATCTGACGAGCGCCTCCATTGTAGCAATAAGGGTATAGTGGTTCGCATCGTCCATATTCAGTGCGAGATCCTCTGGTATTCCTAGCCGAACTGGATCCCACCCGGTCGGTGTTTGAGAAAGAACAGTGTGTCCAATACCGATTGCTTTTGGCACATGGATTACAGTGCCTTTAAGGAGTCTGACCGACCATGTTCCATCAGGGTTCTCCCATGTGTCAACCTTGTCGCCATTTCTCTGTTTGAAATGAAGAGCCTCCTCTGCACTGGTCTCGAAAGGAGGCATGTCCTGATCGATCTGAAGTTCGCGGATGAAGGACTTCATATCAACATCCTTCTCACCCCAAATTTCTGGTTCAACAAGACGAATGCCGGTATGTTCCAAGATATACGGCTCGTACTTTGCCCTCATTTCCATATCGTGCACTGGCTCTTGTGTTTTTGCGTCAACCCAGCCAGTATAGTGACTCCCTGTTCCCGGATGGTCGCCAGAGAACCTTTTGATCAGCCCCATCATCCATGCCAGCTCAATGCAGCCTTCCATCGAGAACACACCATATGCCTCCTGCTCCCAGCGCAAGGCTGCATTCCCAAATGGACCAACTTCACCGAATCCTGTCACAACCACAACCTTGTCCAAGTCAACCATGCCCTCCAGGTGTCTAAGGTGGTCGAGTTGCTCGTATTCTTTTACAGCCGGGGAGTCAACCCTGTGTTGAGCACGTGGTATCGTCTTGTTTACAAATGACAATGTCACAGAATCCTCTTTCTGCTCAGTGAGATACACTGCACACACATCCGAGTGCGCGGCTTTCCTTAATCTGGCAGCTTCTATCAGCACTGAGCGCCGCTTCGATAACTCCTTGCCCACTGTCTCAATAGAATATGACCCTCCATTGAAGTTGCCAAACACAGGATTGTTGTGCGCTGTCTCTTCCATCCCTTGTGATAGCAGGCAAAGTATGTTGAACGACATTTCCTCACGAGAGAACGTACGCATGCCCATTTCCTCCATGGCTGCATACACATTTGCACTTCCAGATGTCAGTTTCGTGCTGCGGGTCCATCCAATTTCACCACCAGTGATTGAAATGTACTCTGACCATGATTCTGTGTGCCAGCGGTTGTACAGTGTATGCAAAGCTGCCTTCGTTTCACCATACATACCGTCATTTCCTGCTATTCCATGATTGGATGAATGTGGCAACACAAGTAGCGATGGGTGGAGAGTATTTCCAGTTCTTACTTTAGCCGCCTTAACCTGTCCTATTATCCGGAACAAGTTTGTCAATAGAATGCGAATCGTTAACTCAGAGTGGGAGTCGATGCTCCCTGCATCTTTGCCATGTTCTGGGAAAGCAGCAAATGGAGCAATGTAGTCCAAATCCCACCCAAGTCCATCTTTGCCGTAAATATACTGGATGAGGGCCTCTACATCGCATGATGATGCCTGGTTGAAGGGGACAAGAACCAGCTCAGATCCGCGGGAACCAAACTTCCGGTACATCTCTTTCGAAGAATCGGATTGACGACAGGGAATAATTGGACGCTGTAGCAACCACTTTGGCTCCACCAGATAGCAAGCCCTCAACCAATCCTGAGCCAATGGACCCTTTTCCACACCCGGTAACCAGTGCACATTTGCCCTCAAAAGATATGCCGTTAACCGCTGCGTCCTCCATCGAACTGAAGTATTCATCAGAAATCTCCTTGCTATATGTCCAGGCGTTTCCAGCCTGCCGACCGTACATATACAGCAGAGGTAGCCCATCCTTGCTGGCACATTTCATGTGTTGAACGTAGTCACCTATCGATTGCTCCCCCTCTCTGGGAAACTCACAGCTGTCGATATCACCTCTGAACGTGATCTCTGTATGAGGACGCAGTGGGGTCGAAAGCTCTTTGTAGACAGGAGGCACATTTTCTGACTCCCTACACGCTGCATAGATAATCTCCGTTTGCTTCAGTGCACGTTGGGCAGATGGGCAAGGGTCTGCTTTGAGAGTCCCAATAAATGCCTGTAGCATTGAGAGCAGTCCAGGGTTGGACCGGTTCTTGAGCATATGAATACGTTTCATATACGTAGCACGGTCCATTCCTGGTTCCTCTCCACCCAAAATGCCAGAGACCCATTCCAGTACATCCTGACGAGCCCAGTTCCAGTAGGAGTCAAAGTGACGAGCCTTGTTTGCGTCGAATAGTGTGTTGGCCTTATCTATCAACCCGCTGCCGAATTCACGCTTAACTTTGTCATTCTCTGACCTGAGAACTGCTACCTCCAACTGCAGCTTTTCTGCTGATCTAGTACCTTGGCGCGTATCGAGACCCACATGCTTAGTAAGCGTCTCGATCTGGTCAAGAATGAGACTTCTTTGGTTCTTCTGAGCCTTGTCAAATTCAGCGCTGTTAATAACAACGGAGGCCGCCATAGCACCATTTCTATTCCCATTTTGTGCTGTGGCTGTCAGTGATAGACCCACGTGGCTGGCATACATCTGGGCTGCTGACTCCAACCAGACTTGGGCTGCCTCTTCATCTGCAAGCCGGCAGGAGGGTTCCATTGTAACCGACATGAGCAGTAGAGCATCTTGTCTGCGTGGACCCAGGCCATAGTTGTCCTTCAAATACGAACGAGCAACTGACTGTGTGAACCCATTCGGAAGCTTCTCAACAAAAATCCTGTTGATAAGCGACTGAGAGTGTTTACCAAGAGAATTTGTAGAGTTCCCAAGGACTTTGGCAAGTTCCTCCAAGGTTTGCTCTTCGGCATGTTCAGGTAGGCCCTTGCCAAATTCCTTTTGGAAATCTCCAAAAAGCTCATTTTGCACCATTGACTTCCCAGCAACAAGCTCCTTGATCGACATCGTGGGATACACTTTAGCGATTGCTGTGGAGAGCTTCCATGAAATTGTTGCTCGTAGAATATCAACAATTGGAATTGGCACGTCATCAACAGAGCATATAGCAGCTGGCAGGACTGGATTCAAGGCCGCTTGCTCTTCCACAGCAGGGCCGGGGGGTTTGGATGCTCCTTCTTGCTTAGTTGATTTGCTGCTTGTGCTCTGACCTGACCTCAGCGACAAAGGGTCAGTATTTATATCAGCATATTCGGTCTGAGATGCTATATAATATACATCATCTCTATCTTTGCTTGCATGTAGAATAGCGACTTCTTCGCAGAGCCAGCTGTTGCTACCCAGAGTTTGTGTTGCCATACGACATAGTATTGGCCTTGGGCCAATCTCGACCAGCCGCTTCACCGAGCAGCTCTTGAACATCGAATCTTGGGTTTCAATCCATTTTACTGGCGAGGAAAGCTGGAATGAAAGGAGCTCAATCAGAAGCGTACGCGCAAGGTATACCTGGTTACCAAGTGTATCGGTACCATCTGTTTCCCGGTATTGGAGTATATCTTCAATAACTGGTGAGTGGGTGATGGAATAAACACGATCGAAATATTCCTTTGTGATTTCAAAGGGTTCTCCGGTCAGATTGGGGATGTATCTTCCACACAGCAATGAAGTAAGCCTCTTTATATGAGGAATTCTGCTGTCGAGTACCCTGCGGAATGTGTTGATACTTGCTGATAGCTGGCTTGAATGTGAAGGGGCATCGATTCCAGGAATTGCAATAGTTGCGATGCCAGTTTGCAATACTCGTGTATGAGGATGTTCATTCAAAATACCGTTGATAGTCTTTGTTATTTCCTCGCCTTCTTCAATTTCAGCAAGCGTAATGCTCTCTGCAGACAGTCGGTCTATAATCCTGCACATGGCAGTTAAGCTCTCGATATGTCCCGTGACTATATACTGTTGCCCACGGACGTTGTAGTTGACCACTTCCAGGAGCTGCTGCTTTCTTTCGCAAATAAGATCAACAAGTCGGAGAAGGTTGGATATTCCAAAGAGCTTCCCAGCACGCTGAGGGCTGACTGATACCATCGCATACTCGGAGCAGCCATTGATGTCGCGATCTACTGACATATGGAGAAGCAGTCCACGATAGAGAGCAATGTCCACAGCATCCTCGACGGAAACAATCCCAGCAATTGCAGCAAGTGACCCAATCTCGCCAAGCGAATGGCCAGCGAAAATGGCATCATCCTGGATAAGACATGAGCACGCATGTCTGCAGCCTGAGCCAACGACATCACCGTCTGGATCGGCTGTGTGAACAGCGTTGCATTGAGCAGGCCATTTGCATATCGGTGTGTGTATGATGTAGATGTTTGTGTGATCCCTGGGATCAACTGCACAATATCGCTGTCAGATTCACGTACCAAGGAGAGGTATTGTGCGCGAATCTGATTACCCTTTTTGCCACCAAACTTAACCAAGTACTCTCTCGGATTCTCTTGGACAATTTTCAAAAGGGAAACGCCATACTTATTCAGCATGTGCTTATCAGCTCGGTCCCACACATCTCTGGCAGCAGTGGACGATACGTAGAGATCCATCCCCATGCCGACGAACTGTGATCCCTGGCCTGTAAATACATATGCGGTCTTTGCCTGGGCAACCTCTGCTGTGAGTGCCATCACTGTTTCCCGGTTCTGGTTTACAGTCTTGCCATTGATGACCATGTAACCGCTGGCCATTCCCGTGTGAACCAGTTCTACTTGAAGGTCATTGCTGGGATAAACTTTTCCGATAAAGTTGACCTCGTACGAGCGCATACGCCTAGGATCGTTATCAGCAACAATGCTCTCAACAACAGCGCGGGTTGCAGCTGAGGTCCACATGCCGTGGCAAATCACCTCCGATTCTCCGATGTATGCAACCACATAGGGATTTGTATGGAGCATGTTCTGATCGCCAGAAGCATGAGCAAACTCCCAATTTTCAGATGGTGCTTTGATAGACATGGCATCAACATTCCCTGCATATCGGATTGGGACGCCGCCATGCTCAAAACGTACCGAATCACTGGCTACGTGTTGGTTCTGATTGAGATAGTCGACTACTTGGTTACCATATACATCAGTAGTCTCAAAGTAAACGTCGGCAATATGTTCGAGCTCTCCGTATGGTTTCAACCGATATACAGGTCCATAGGTTTTGATATGCGAAATCAGTCCCTTTGATTTGAAACGGTAACACGATTGGAGCCTGAACTCTAGGACTTCCCCAGGTACGGCTTTTACTGGCTCCAGTGTATCCTTGTACGTAAACCATTCTTTGGCTTCAAGTACAGTGGCCTTCTCATCCGATAAGATCAGCATGTGTCGCACAGGTTCATCAGTCAATCTGAAAGTCTGTCTGTATGCCACATATTGGTTAGGTGAGATAATCATATCTTCAGATGCAGCAATGAGGAGTCCATCGCGGTAAAACCTTGATGTGAATGTCATTCTTAGGCCAGGATCAACATTCTCGAGTGCGGTCAGCACCATCTGATAGTAAATTGTATCTCCCACATGCAGTGGAGACACACCTGGTTCGTACTCTGTGTTGTGATAGAGATGCAGAATTCCCATCATCCCCTGGTTCAAAGGCAGGCCAGTTAAGATAGATGTCAGCTGCTTGATTGTAATGCTGAAGAATATGTCAATTGGAGCCATAGACGATCCACTGGCTGCCCTTTTGTAATACTCTGATGCGTTGTGAACACTAGAGCAGTACTTCCGAACAAAGTCTTCAGTAACAGTGAATGGCTTAAGCACAGCATCTGTGAAGTGCTGTTCTATATCATCACACACGATGTAACCAGGGTCGCTTGTGATGCCATGCATACTCAGTATTGACCTACAGTACGCTCTATCCCGACCATGCGTATCTTCAGCAATAAGCGCCGCCGATTTGGATGGCGTGTAGATGTACGGGAATTGGATCTCAAACTGCTCCTCGCCAATCCGATGGTAAATAATCATCAGAATATTCTTCTCACCATGGAGCTGTATGCGAATGTCCAATACCCCAGTTGGTCCATGGATATCGAGCTTGACCGGCCTATCGCCATCAAATGACACCTCTGCTGTTTGCCCTGCCATTGGTCGCAGAACCTGCCTTATTGGATTTGAAGCGTACAGTGATTTGCGAACCACCACTGGCGATGTGAGAAGTGCACGAAACCAGCTCTGAGTAGGACCAGCCAGTGCCTCCAGCCATACATCAGGATCTGGAAGCAGTGCTGCATCAGTTGGGAGCTTGTATGTGCGGCTTGACTCATCAACAGCCACTGCAGCTGAGGTAGGGAGAGATACTGGAAAAGGCTCTGGTGCAAGGTACTCGCAAGGACGGACTAGAGATGGATCCTTATCGAAATTGCACATGCTAAGCTTTTCCGTTAGCCCGGTGTAAACACGGTCGAGTATATCCTTGACCGGTTCGTTGACTGTGGTGGCATACTTCGCAGACACAGGGCCCAAGGCAATAACAGTGCGCTGGACATCTCTGTCAACAACTGTATCCAAATCCTCGGCTTGTGAATTGATGTCCTTCGTCATCCAAACATGCAGGTCGGCGTCGAGGATAGGAACGAAGGGGACTGGCTTGGTTCCAGACCGCTTGCAAAGCCAGACCAGATACTGGACATCCTCAAGCGCAAGAAGAGTGTGGCCGATATCTGGGAATGCCTTAATCGCCAGGTTGATAATCACATGCGGGTCTTGAAGTTGGACGAAGCGTTGGAATACGCGTCGGCTTTCCATCTTGGAAACACGGTCCTCGGCCCTTGAAATAAATTCACCAAACAGTCTGACATACGACACATCCAGCCACCTGGATTTGTCTGCGACATACATGAACTCCACAAGTCGGTTGAGCACTTCCAGGTACGTCATCTCCTCCAAATCGACCACTCGACCATCAGACTTCATGCCAAACCATGGCCGTGTATAGTCCTCATTGAGCCGCTTTATGATACGGTCCTTGTTTGCCATGATTATTGGCAGCTGGTCAGCATATGGCTTGGTGAAGATCATGTCATTCAACTCTCTGAGAGCCAGTGCAGCGCGATTAGCCACACAATGGGCGATCTCACCATATCCTGACATTGCTGATATCACTCCACCGGCATTACCAGTGTATGATAATTCCCACTTGCTATCCTCAACGCCAGTGGCTGCCGCAATGAGCTCCTTTGCTTCCAGAGATATGGCACTCTCTTTTGCAGTGAGGACGCATGAAGCTAACAATACTCCATCAACAGGCATGGGTGCATATCCAAACTGGACACTCCACTGGCCGGAGAGATATGGCAGAATGCTATCGGCGTCGCCGAACCCAGACCCAACGACCAGGATGGTGTTTGGCAGAGACCGGATCTTGCTGTACGTTTCCAACATTGGCTCGTGGAAGTCTTCACACGAATGGTGGCCACCAGCACGGCCGCCAGTCCACTGGATAATGACAGGGAAGTCAGGGTTTACTCTGGCAATTTCAATCGCCTGGAGAATTGTAGCCACTGACCCGGGCTTGAAAGCAACATGGCGTATGCCCGCGTCACGCAACTCCGCGATTATACTGTTGGCGACGTCAACTGAGGGAACACCACCGCCAATACAGAGCCCTGTGATCGGTACTCCTTCCCGCCGCATACGCAGGATACTGGGATACTGGAACACCCATTGCTTCCGATCCATGTAGACCGTGTTGACAGCGAATCCGTTACCTGGCTCAAGGAGCTGAACCAGATTGTCGACCCTTTCCCTGAACACTTTTTCGGTGTAGATCCCACCACCACCAAACTCGACATGGTATCCAGCATTGCTTATGGCTGCGACAAAGTGCTCGTTGGACGTAGTCGGGGTCATCCCTGCAACCATCACAGGCGGGAGTCCAAGAGTGAGCGACATGCGGGTGCGAATATGAAGCTGGCCGCCATGTGCGGTTCGAACAAGGCATGGACTGAAAGCACTCTCCCAGCTTGGCACTGTGAAGACGTCGGAGATATTCCGTTTGAACAAATCGGCCTTGGATCCCATGCGCGACTTGGTACATGGAGTAGGTGAGCTGGTGCTGATGATGGTTTTGCCATAGCCGTCGAGAATGTCTCTGGCGAGTTTGCCGAATGTACTGAAAGTCCCTGGGCTGAAGTCGACGATAAATGTGGCATCGGCGCTGTTGACAGTTGTTGGCCAGTCAACACGGTACACGCACATACTATCGATCAAGAATCTGGTAAGGTCTACTTCATCACGAAGGTCATGTCCGTCCACGCCAGCGTTGACTTGAGTACGAAGAGTGTCAGGATTGAGAATCCAGCCCTTGGCAGTCGCAAACTCGTACACAATTGGTGCAACATGTAGCTGAAGTTTGCAGTGGGTTGGTACCGACATGCTCAGTGGGCTGATATCGGCTACCGGCTTGCGCTGGGAGAACCGGACGCGCGATTGATCCTCTGTTGGCGGCACAGTGTGTTTTTCTAAGGTGCCTAGCAAAGTATGTAATGGCATCCGTTTTGCCTGCAACAACAAAGGTCGAGCGACCGTTGATTAGGGCCAGGCTGACTTCCGAATCCTCGTCCATGCAGTCCCCATTAAACGCAGCAATGAATGATTCTAGCGTTTCTTGGGCTAGACCACGAACAGAAACCATTGGCACGGGTAAGCCATCAGTACGCAGCAAAAGTCCCGGTGCACCTGCATGCGAAGGGTTTGACGAGAAATTTTGCTGGACAATCGCGGATGTTGCAAGAAGAATACCGAGCACCTTCTCGGTAACAACATAGAATGATGCCTCGTCAGTCACGGAAGCAAAGGCAGCAGCCATGGTTAGACCCTGGCTGTGTCCAATTGCAACTACAGAAGGAGAAATGAATGGCTAGTAACGGCGAACACTGGCATTGTTGCATACACTGGAGCCAGTTATGAATGATGTGTGCTTACCATTAAAGCGTGAGACGAGGTCGCCTGGGCTCATATTGAGCGTCTTATACAAGACAGCCACATGCATCGCCTGAATCAGTCCTAGCATGGGCGTAATAACTGGTGCAGTCAGCAAATACTTGGCGTCAGGCATTGCGTCGGGAGAAGCAAGCCAGCCAGCAATGTCCAGTGGACGTGAATGGGCTTTCGCCAATAGGGGGTCAGTGGATTCGCGCTTGAGGAAGTCTGACATATGAGCGACAAAGTCTGACAACAGCGGGCCATAAACATCGAGAAGCCATGCTGCTTCGTCAACATAGCTGTCTGCTCCGCCCGGACTACCAAACATAGCGGCAAGCCTGATGTTTGCATCGGAAATGATAGCGGGAACAGGGACTTCGGGCAGCAACTGACGCGCCTCAAGGGTGTTCCAAACCGAGTAATACCCCTTCATGACGGTTCGCGCTTGCTCAGCAGACAGGTTCAGCTGCTGGACAACCACATGGATATTCTCGTCGGCACAGAATTCTTGGTGGAAGTGAAGAAATAGGGCGACGGCAACATCGGGGTTACGGGAGCTACAGTACGCCAAAAAGAGTGCGACGAGTTCGATTTCCGTGGAAACAGCAGGAGGACCGCCATCCAGAAAAGACGTAGCGAGCTCCTTGGCGACAGGGAAGCTGTCACCAGGAATTGGAATGTTAGTTGACACTCCGCCAGATGCGAGTGCAACCTTGCAGGTAAACAGATTCATTCTGCAGGATAAGTTGAAGCGGGTTCAGAAAGAGTTAATTCTTGAGTGGTTGAGGTGTGCAATGTTTGCAAGAAAAGTGAGATAGGGAACCAACGTTGCATGGCAAATGAGCAGGTTTATACACAATTTTGACAAGCTACATACACGTAAAATGGTGTTGCAAAGCTGGCCAAATGGTCAGTGGTCCTTCAAGTGTGTGAAAGTTCTCAAGGGCGTTGGCGAGGCTTGATTATTCGCCATCACAGGTAATTTCACAGAAATATCACCTCCATTGTATCCTTCCTTTCCCAGGCCAGAAAAGCCCCCTACGCCAGGTGTCTCTTTTCAAATTGAGAAATTGTGTACAATCAGGAGAGAACAAAGAAAAAGTGTGTGTATGGGCAAGGTGCGGAAAATGACTGACATCAAAATTCTTCAAGCCATTGCGGAAATCAGTCTCACACACTTGAAATGTATTCATAGATAAAATGCTGGAAGGCTTGCATATATAGGCTTTGTCTATGTTGCGATTGTCAGCCTAGGAGGTGAGTTGTTATCTAGTACTAGAATTGCTCTGCTTGCGATGCGAGCTCGTCTGCTAGTCAGCATGGGTTGACACGTCGATAAGAGCATCACGGCGAACCGGTCATTTGAACGTGTCGGATGGTTGTTGGTGCAATGGCAATCATGGATATCTCACATCTTGATGGCCTGCTCAGCGTAGGCGCTTCAGCGCTGGCTCGCTGCTGTTGGCAACAGAATCGCCTGCTGCTGCACGCCTCTTGCGCGGGTTCTTTGTTTCAGGGGTGGTGCCAGAAGCATCGGCAGCAATGGCCGTAGAACGACGGAACCGCTCAGGAATACTGCCTGAATCACAGAGTGACTGGAAAATGAGCCTGAAGTTTAGAACTGCTGCGAGATCGCAGTTCAAGAGCCGGGACGAATAGGCCCGCCTGTATTGCGCCATGGTCCGCTTACATGACTCGCTTGTACAGCGGAGAAGGCCATGGCACTTCACAGTTGGGTTCTTCGATCTCTGGTAGAGCCGCGGGTTGGGACCATGCCGGAATGTCTGCTGCTGCCGCCGATGCACCAGCAAATGAATTGGCCGCTACTGCTGCAGTTGCTGCAGTGGCCTCTGTTGCATCCGATGGCATCTTCGCTGCTTCGCACGCAGCCTTCTCGGCCAATTTTTCGCCCTTTTCTGCTGCTTTCCTTGCCTCTGTTGCTGCCCTCTTTGCTGCGTTGATCTCTGTAGCCTGCTCGCGTGTTTTCGAAATAAACACCTGCTTGATTATTTGCTTGTCTAAGCGCACATGGCCTGGGATCCATGATGTCCGCAGAGGCAAGCATTGGGGGGAGACTTGCCAAGCTGCTCATTCTCGATAGGCTGGCATAGGCGAATGTATGCACGCAGATGCTGAAGTGTATTTACCTTGGCATCATAGTATCGGCTGTCTTTGGCGAATCTGTACTTGGCATCATAGGCATTAAGGACTGGTGCCAGCTTGTTGTAGATTGCAAGCATTGGTGGGGTGAGCACACTGAGATCAGGGCGCCTAGAGGCAACTGCCTAGCGGAGCTTCTGTGCAGGTGTATAAATATACACTTGACATGCATTTTTGAACTCAGCCTTAGACACATTGCCCATTGTACTGTGCAGTGTGTTTTTGCGGCTGCGAATATCAATCAATTTGGCCAGAATCCGCTGTAGGCAAGTGCCATAGTGCAACACAATGTTGTTCTTGTATGCTGTTAACAGCTCTGTATCCACGTATGTCGCTACCTGATTCATTTCGCGCACGCCATGTAGCTCGATATCGCCATTATGTAATAGATAATCATAAATATGGTATCAAACTACATCACCGAAATCTGCGCTCGACAGTTCTGACTTGTCCTTCCGGTTAACGAAACCCTTGGCAGATATGACAGTCTTCGCCTTCAGGTTGTGATAAATGAATAAATAAATAAAACGAAAAAAACCCCTTTTTCACAAATGTTGCTGGGTCAAAAGCATCCCCGTCAGCTAGCTGATGGAGTAGTATCCATCGTGCAAGCATGTATGTATGCTCTTTGATGATATTGACGCTGTGTACAAATTGCTCTAGGCGGGGCAACATAGAATCACGGAAGCCAATACCACCAAGTGATGTCTTTATGACAGTAGTGCTGCGGGTAATATTCATTTGAGAAATTCAATAGGCAAGTAGGAAGAGGAATGATGCTGTTCAGTTTTGCTGTATTGCAGATGCATAGCATTAAGAACTTTTTATTAAAAATGATCTGGCCTGCATGGTTCTTGGGGCCCTTAGCACTGATACAGTCGCTTGAATCAATCTATACAGACTGGATCCATTGTGGCCCAAATACTACCGCTTACGCATGTTCATAAGACAAATTAATTTATAAAATAAATCTACAAATATTGCATGGCCGCTAGAAGAGCTATATGGCCTTATTCAATAGATGCTCATGAACAAATATCCTAAGAGTGTTGCGCAGCCGGTGATGACCACCATGATGGCGCCATGGAAGTTATCAGGCCAACCGACAATGAGAGCAGCTCTTGCTCTATAAACTCCTTATGATCTTGTGCGGCATCTGACCTCATTGGTGAAACCAGGGTGACAAGCTGGTATTTTAATGGTCACAGGTCTCCACTATATATCTCCATTGGTTTAGCGCAAGTCACCCAAACTCGCTTTGAGGTTTAAAAGAGTTTTATCTTTTAATCAACTAGAAAAGGTTCTAGCAGATGGTCGGACACTTTTTCGACTATAAAGTCTTAAATATAGGTAAAAATAAAAGGAAAACAACTCCATACAAGTATGTCTGAGGGAAAGAAGGAAAATTGGTGGTCTGACTGAGCGTTTATATGTGCATTCCGGCCTTGCCCACGGTGGGGTAGGAGAACTCTGGATCCCGAATGCCAGCGGCGATAATGGTGGCCCGCTGCCAAGAATTTAGCTCGCTTAAGTTATGCGAGTTGGGTTGCCAGACTGCATTTTGAAAGCTGTGACAAAGCCTGGCGCCATGAAGTAGCATATACTCATATCGATGACGGTAGCATATACTGGTATTATCATCATAGCTATCATGCATATAAATGCACGGATATAAAAATGTAAATATAAATTGGCTCAAATATATAAAGAAAGCGATGCTAAAAAATCAGCAAAAAAACAAAAAGGGACGTATTACGCGTACTTGGGGAACAGCGGCAGGAGGTCGTTCATGTTGAGCGTGCTCTTGACACTGGCGTCATCCCGCTTCTTGTCGCAGAAGAACTGCGAAATGTCGAATTCGGCCTTCTCAACTGCCTCCTTGGCCGCGTCCTCGCCGTCAGCCTTGATGATCTGCTTCAGCAGCGCAAGGGAGATGTTCAGGGCGGGCGGGCGCAGGGTTGTGGTCTTGGTGGCCAGCTCGCCGAGCACCTCGGTGAAGCGCGACAGCGGGATCTGCGCAGCAGCAACTAGGGTGCCGAAGAACTTGTACGCGTTAGGGGCATCCAGAGCGATGTCCTCGATCACAGTGCTGTACTCGACAAAGCCGGCGGCAAAGAGGTCCTCAGAGACGACATCCTTGGAGCACAGTACTGTGACACCACGAGCGACCATGTCGACCTCGTCGGCCTTGCGGTCCATGGCGTAGTTGATGAGCTCGTAGACAGCCGACGAGTAGTTGACCTCGCCCAGCTCCTTGAAGCACTCGACCAGCTCGGTGTTGTCCTTGATGTTCATGTACTCCTCGAGCATGCCCTTGACCTTGGTCTGCACGGTCTTCGAGTCCATCGTCTTGGGCTTGGACGCGTCCTCAGCCGGCGCGGTCTCCGACATGACGGTCGGTGACAGCGGCTCGACATTCGGCTGGCCCTTGGTGGCATCGGCGCGCGGCGACATGTGCTCCTCCTCATCGTCGTTGCCCAGCACGCCAAACATGTTGCGCGAACCAACGGGCTCGGGAGTCCCAGCAGCGCTCGAGTCGGCTCCACGCGACGAATGCGAAGGCGTGCGGCCGCCCGGACCCAGAACCAGCGAGCGAGGACGATCGTCGCCGCGGTTGCGACGGCCATCGTTCGAGTTGGTACGCCAGCCGCGAGAGCCGCCGGCCAGCTGGCTGAATGGGTTGGCACCGAGTGGGCCGTTGCGGGCTCCCTCCTGCTTGGAGCGCGACAGGTTGCCAAAGCCAGTGAGGTCGCCGGTGCGCTGGCTCTGCTCGCGGCCGCTGTTGCTAGGCCCGCCGACGGTGTTCCAGCCGCCACGGCGTCCGCGGTGCGACTCGCTGCGGCCGGCGTGGGAGCCGGTGCCGCGGCCAGAATGCGACGGGGCACGGCGCATGGCAGCCTGCTCGGCCTTCTGGCGCTCGGCGTCCTCATGGATCTCGGCGATAGTCTTGGGGCCGTCGGCCTTGGTCCGGTTGACCCACTTGGCGGCGCGCAGGTCGATGACGTCGCGCAGCATAAAACGGATACGCGAGTTGAGCTTCTTGTTCTTGGCCATGGTGTCGATACGCTGGAAGTACGCGTCCATGTAGCTCTTGGCCTGGTCGCGGTCCAGCTTTTTACCAACGGTGGTGATGAGCTTGGCCAGCGACTCGGTCTCCTCCTCCTCGGGCGTCTCGACATTGGACAGCAGGCGCTTGACGCACTCGTGCATGATGCGCTCAGTGAGCATATCGAGCAGGAACAGCTCGCCAATGAACTTGACCAGACCCAGACCGCGGCGCTTGATCTTGGCCGCCTCGTAGTACTCCTCGGACTCGAGATCCTCGGGCATGTCGACCTTCCAGCCGCGCTCAAAGTCCTCCTGACACTTGGTCAGCAGATACTTGCGCACCAGGTAGCCGCCGCTGAGGAACTTGCCCTCCTTGGTCATCAGGCTGTGGTCCTCGACGTCGGGGTTGGTCTGCGTCATCAGCTTGTGGCACAGGCGTGCGTACATGCTGGCCCAGGTCGGCTCATCGGTGGCCTTCTGGAACACAAGCATGATGAGATGCCGCAGAATGCGGCCGTCGGTCTC